TATAAAATCAGCTATTATAATGACAATGATGTTACAGTGGAATCCTAGTCCAAAATATAGTGACATAGTTAAAATGTAGTAATAATGACACTGCAAAAACAATATTGTTCAGAATAAAAGTGTTTTTTAAATTTTTGAACATTTATTTTAAGATTAAACTTTCTGAGGCCTTAGACATTAGCTATTTGAAGGAAAGTAACCTTTTAAAAAGTCAACGTTATAAATGTTAATTTGCTTTTGGGAAATGAGTCTAACTAAATCATTTGAAAATTAATACTATTTTCTTTGTTATTATGGTACAATTTGGAGAATTAAGCCCCAATAAAGATTAAATTTCTATGGATAATGACCTGTTATGGCTCTGAGCAACAAGTCCTCAAAGACTAATCTAAGCAATAATACTTTTAGCTAACTTTTTAAATTAAATCACTAAGCTTCATTTTTTTCTTTAAAAAAATAGAGCTAATAATTCTGAGCAAATTAATAATAATTTTGTGAAGATAAATAATTACAGTCAAAGTACACCAGAAATATAAAACTCTCCACGAGATGCTTATCTCTGTTTCAGTCAATTTAAAGCTACTATAAAAATATAAAGCTTCTCAATTAATTTGGATTGTTGCATAATTAATCAAATATTATTAAGCATATATTATGTACAAGGCACTGAGCTTGGTGCTAGGATGCAAAGATGAAAAATACTGCTCCTGACATCTTTAGGAACTTACAATTCAATGAGTAGTGAAGGAAAATGGATATATTTATGCAAATAAGTATAACAGGGAGTAGAGAAGGAGCCAAATAAAGTGCATTAAAGACAATTTGCAGAAGGCAAAAAAAGCTTTTGAATAGTGGAATGAGGGAATGGTTCATGGAAGTGATATTTGATTGGAGAATTAAGACTCATGCCACAACAGGGAAAGATGAAGAACAAATAAATTCCTCTTGTGTTACAATAATATAATCTATTTCTTCAAAAGGAAATAAACTGAAAAATGGATTGCCAATACTTTCTGAAGCAAATTTCAACCCCTTGTTGTGAAATTCTATGGTTTATTATCACTCCTCTCCATTTAATTTCTTCCAGTCCTCAAACTTTAACTATTCTATTTACTAATACCAAATTCACCTCCTGATGGGCCCTTTCATTCAAATTTTCCACTTCTTTCCACTTTCACTGGCAACCTCCATACTCTTGAACATACTTCTTCAAGCCTCAAGCTGAAATAGAATTATTAAAGGCAACTAAAGAAAGAAACATATTTACTTAACCTTTCTTGTATCTCTTCAACAAAATTGGTATTAATGAATGCTGAAAAATCAAACTACAAGTATTTATCAAAGCCATGAATTGTATAGTCTGAATAATGCTTAGTATTAAAATGTTAAGATATTAAATTATGTAATTTACATTTGTGAAGTAAAGTAATATATTAGAGTGCCAGTTTTGTTTTTAAATTTGTTGACAATCTAATTACTCATGTTTTTTAAAATGCTATGTAACTTAATTAACCAAAAAAAATTTGTTTTTTGGGGGAAGAGTGATTTGCATAATTTTAGTGCACAAAATAGCTTCTAAAACAAATTTAAAATGGCATTCAGAAAAAAGTCAATTTTTGATTTTTTCAGTACATGGACACCAGATGCTTCATGTATGATGATGTCTCCTTTTGAAGGCTTTAAAAAAATAGTTTTACTGCTGTTACTTCCTTTACCTTTTGCTCTTCACTACCCAGTTTTTAGTAATGTCAATTTCACGATCTCTTGCATGACCAAATACAAATTAAACTAGGAGCTAGCTGAGGTAAAAAACATTCTCTCTGACCTATAAATAGAAGAATTGTTTTTAAAAAGTAGAGCAATCCTCAGTTTCACAGACTGGCCCATCATTCTTGAGGAAAGAAATAATTTTATTCTCTAAGAATGATACTTTAAAGGCATCTTAAAAAACTATAAAGTGTGAATTTTCTAATATTTTATATAAAGATTTTTAATTAAAAATAATTATGAAAGGCTTGTCATCTGCATACAACATGAAAAATATCAGTATTTTAAAAACTAAAGATCATACATATCAGTTTATTATCTATAAAATCTCTGCTCATTTTCATTTGTACAACTATTTTTTAAAACAATTTTGCTAAAAAAACAAAAGAAACAAACAATAATTTTATGCTTGATACTCTTCAAAACAGTGACAACTATGCAAAAAAAAATATTTAGGGGCTTCTAACTTTTAAAGCTGTCTCTCACTAGGCTATTAATAATTTAGATTTGGAATTTATAAATTATTTCCAATTCGAGTGGTCTCTATACTTTGATATGTGTTGCTATTCTCTGCCATGCTTCTAATGTAGATAGAGTACTTCAAATCCAATTTAGGTGGCAGATTTATAGTAAAGTCAATTTTGTAAGCACATATTATACTACATCTATATTAACTGGTAAATATAACGATTTAACAACACTATACAACATTTGTAGAAAAGAATTTTGCTTATAAACTATATTTTTCAAATAGTACATAGCCTTGTAGAACTTTGGGACTACTCATTTATACAGACTGATAGAACACAGTGAATTTATTCTTTAAATTCACTCTTAAAGATCATTATTTGGGTTTACTACTGAATGATGCCTAATTTATAACCATTTACCAACTTAACAGTGCCAAACTGAAGGCAGTTTTAAACTGACTACTGCAAACAAAATGCTTAGGACATTACTCTATTAACTTAGCACTAGTTCTAGCCAGTTCTTTGCTAACTGTAATCTGAATGATTTTTAAAAATTTTAAAGGTTAAAAACTATAACTTAATATTTAAATAAAGAAAAAAAATATATATTTTATATGAAAAACATATGCACATATGTATGTATGCATGTATTTCAAAGTGTTCTTTCATCCTGGAAACTGATTTACAAATCTAAATGAACAAAAAGAACATTATTACATAGTCTGCAATATTTTGTATATGTTATTTCTTATACATAGAATATTTTGTATATATAGCTAGAAATATGATAAGTTTTCTTTTAACTAGGTACAAAAACTGATTTATCCAATATGGGTGATCACACTGTCATTCTGGAAGAACAAAATATAACATGTTTGGCTTTGTATCTCTTTTCCCCCCAAACTGGAAACTATATAGAGTGAAGTAAAAAGTGGAATCTATTTCCCTTTCCTAACTCTAAGACCTTCTATCTGGGCCAGACTTTGATATTTGCCCCTTGGCTGAGAATCCGTATATCCAGCTTCACACTTAGCTCCAGTGAAGTAGCCCTGCAGGCAGGCCGACTTCAACGAACCACTAGTGGTATCATCATTAAAATCCTGCTGAAGGTCACCATGGTAACCGCCTGCTGAGGCTTCACTGCTGCACTCGGCATCTCCTAATCAGCTACCATGTGAAATGCAAATTCAGACAGTCTGAAAATTAGTCAAGAAGAATAGGGGATGAGGATGCAGATATGTGAAATATTCATGGGCTTCATGGAAAAAAGAAGACAGCATGAATGACACAACAAAGAACGGCCCCTGACATTCTCGCTATCATTCTGCATTATTGTTCACACTCTACTGTATTTCTAGGCTTACAGTTCTGAAGTTGGTTATGTGAAATGCCATATTTGTATTCTACCCCCAAAATAATAATTAAAAGTGGCTAATATAACATTAGTTGGAAAAAAATCACATAAAGACACGTTACTCCTAAATTATTTTTAGACATAGTAAAAATCATTAAAAACCCCCTTATCAATTTTTTAAGTATAAGGGAAATTATCACTAAGAATGCTATAAAAACTGAACAGCAATCTTTAATGTAAATCAATTGGGGGTATGTGAAACGGATTTACTTCGTGAGAGAATAAGGTATATTTCAAGAGCACAAAGCTTTAATGATGGTAAAGATATTTTAGAGTTTCTGATTTCTGAGTATACACATACAGTCTTGATTTTCTGCACTGTACAAAAAGTAAAATAGACAGTTATTCATTTCTTAAAAGAAAAAATGACAAGATTGTATAAGTGAACATTATGATAACTTTAAATTTAAACTTTGTTGTTTTCTACTTCCTTTTGTCAAAGATCTATATTGCTAATCAGAACATGCAATAAGACTATCCTGAGTTTTCTAAATACATTCTCTCTACCTATTACTTTGAAATGCTCCCTCAAAGACTTAGCCAACTATACTTTAGTCTTGACTAAGAACAATGTTACTTTTTTGAACAGTGGTAAAATCATGCTTAATTGTGCTAAAACATACAATGCTGGATAAAACCTAAAATAAGTGATTTTAAGGTCTCTAAAACAAGCATACTAACATAAAATTTAACATGAGAGAAATGACTACATGTTTTGATTCTATTCCAACAATCACATGGAATTTGTCTCTTACAATAACATCACAACATCTCACGAAAGAAATCTGACTAAGAAGAAAGGCCAGTGGTAGGGCTGTCATGAAAAGAGAATGTAGGAATGTATTTGTGGGGTATATGGAGAAAAGGAGGTAAGTCCACCTTTGCAAAAGATGGGGGATGGGGCGGTGTAAGGACAAAAAAAAGTTACTTTTCTTTGCTTCAATCTTCTTAAACTATATTGTTTGAGATAGAGAAGAGGAGGAAGAAGCCCTCTTAAAAGGGATGGCAAGACTGGTGAAGAACTGTCTGTTAAAACGTAACAAGAATCTAGTATTAATTTTACCCTTTGCTATGCATAGTGTGGTATAAAGAAAGCTACTATTCTTGCCATACCTAGGAAGTAGCCAATATATACTATACCACATGCTGTGTTGTGCATCACTTTATGAATTGCAGAGTCAACTCTTTAACCAGTGAGTCTGAGAAAAAGAATGAAAGCTGTGAAAAGTGCTGCTTCTGCCACTTATGCCATTCATTTTTTATCTCTAGAGAAAGTATAACTTCTTAATAAAATGTAAAAGTTAGCAAAAGGAACAGCAGGAGAACACGTGGATTTGAAAATGACTTACTTCCTCTGAATAGTGATCTGAAGGAAGAGGTGGGTAGTCACACTGTTCTATCTTCTTACACAGAGAATACAAATTCATTTTGTCTCCATAGAAGGGACTCTGCAATGCAGCCATCTGTGAAATGCCCCAACAAAATTCATATGTTAAGATGGTCGTTTAAAGGTATGTATAATCCAAAAGATTAACAACAGTGTTTTGTAGAAAACTGTGATATGGACTCTTAATATATGACTGTCCTAAGAATTGCTTAAGTCTCAAATCTTAATTTATTTCAAAGTTAGGTAATGTGGATATACTTCTCTTTTCCCCAACAATTAAATTTGGCATTTTCTCATCTGACAAAAACTAAATTTTGCAGTTAGTACCCACCAATTTTTAGAAAAGGAAAATTACTAACACTTTAAAATGCCTCTCTGGTAAGTATAATGATTTAACAACACTACACAATCTATTCATAACTAGATTACTATGGTGTCTTTGAAACATATGTTCAGATTATAATAAAGTTACAGCAAAATAATCAAAATATGATTAAATTTAAAGAATAATGAGATAAGAAAGGTTATCCTGGATGAAAAATGAGTCCACACACACACACACACACACACACACACACACACACACACACAAACACGTGGTCTTAAAAATGTGTAGCTTATGAAAAGTAAAACAAGAACTCTAGTTTGAAATAATTTCAAAATCTCTCCCATCTTTCTCTTGGTAATATGTCAAAAAACACCAAATAGTATATGGAAACTTAATTTAGAGGCACAGTGGCAATCTCAGTGCCCACTACAGAAAAGACAAGTATTCTTTTCAGAAGAAATCTACTCAAAGAATGCCAAACTTTAAAGAAGACACTACTGAATATAACATTTATTTTAAGACCATGTTCTAACTTGACATTTAAAGTGCAAACAAGTACTCAAGTAAGTAGGATTACAAACTAAAATTCAATTTAAAATGTTCCTATCCTGTTCAAAACCTTCTAAATCTTTGAACCGCAGCAGCATGAATGCAACACAGAGTGCTATGCTGCCCCAAAGTCAGTCACCCTTTTCTACATGTGCTAATAAGTTTGATTTTGGAAGGACAATGTGTACATTCCCCAGACAGGCAGAGTGTGTGTGAAACACGCTAGTCCACGCTGTGCTACTCAGTGAGCTTCAGCAGGGACAGGACAAGCTGAAAATGGCTCTCATCTGTCTTGTGGTCCTCCAGAATCAGCTTTAACTCCTTCAGAGCCTCGGCATGAAGGATAGCTAGGTTGGTAATAAAACATGAAATAAATCAAGAAATATTTCCTCTAACAGGTGTTCCCTGAACTAAATTTATAATGTTATGTTGAATACTTTCATCCTAATTGAAGAAAATAGGGAACTATTGTGATGTCCTAAAACACAGAACATGGAACACAAGAATTTTCTCAAAGCTAAACTACACTAGCATTCATAACTTCTTGTTTACGTGATGGCATGCTTTACCATAAAATAAAAACTAAAAATGCCTTCTAAAAGTAAAAGAAAGGTAAAAATTAAAGAATCTGGATGTATGCACAAATTTTAAGTAAAATGTGTGTGTATATATATATATATATATAGTCATTATCATACGCTAGGAGTTCATTATGATACTTTTGTCTGAATACTGCAGTGTTAAAAAATAAAAAAGTCTGAACGTCCCCTAAGGAGTTAAAACAGGAATACTATATTTTCATGCGTCTCCTGCTTTGACAGATGAAAAATGTCAACTGTCCTGTTTTTATTTTCAAGCTTTTGCACTATTCATCTGGTTCATTAGTGCATCTCGATGCTGCCCCTGACAGCTGCTCGCCCTCTCCTCCCAGCAGCTGAATTTTTCAGGCTAATTTGATCCTCCACACTGAGACGATCGCTAGAATGATTGACTTGCTCCCTGACCTCCAGGGTCTGACTTTCCTGATTAGTATTCTGGGGGTGTCTGAGGGACGAAAGCCCACTGTCTGTCTTCGGGGCTGGTGGCAGCTCTCTTTTTTTTTGAACTGTAAGCCACCAACCTACAACCCTGTAAGGATGCAATTGCTGCGCTGAACAATAAAGGAAATGTGTAAAACCTACTTTTCCATGTAAAGGTCCGTGTAGCAAAAGCACAGCATCTTGATTTTAATTAGTAAAGTCTACTTTGTTGCATATCAATTAAAACTGCACAGCTAGCTTTTTTGAGGTTTCAGGAATATTTGAAAGTCTAATTTTTTGAGTTTAAGGTACATTTTTAAAAAAAGGCTTCCTAGCTTTAAATTGTTAACAGTCAACCCTTAGTGAGATTTGGTATAAAATGTTATCAACACGATGCTATATTCATTGATTTTTTTTCCAAATTAAATTTCTGGAATAATGTTAATTAAAGTCATATTAAAACATATCTAAAGAGGAAGTACAATGTAAAGGTCAATTAGATCTTCACTAAAATGGTACAACTATAAACTACTTTTATTTGGAGAAAATATAAAAGTAATGCAAAATACAAAAATAAAATTAACACAATAAATACTTCAAACTCTAAGGAGTACATACAATATGTAACACATAGATGGGAGGAGGTAGAGAGACTTGGTTGTCTTAAGGATACCATGCTTTCATTTTGATGAGCATTTTAATTAGAGCATGCACTAAAAATGGGTCAGTGCCTCAGAAAAACCAAGGCAAAGTATGAAGGGTCTATTTCAGTTCAGTTCAGGTTGGGTGGTGGTTTCACTGAACATAAAACATTATATGAAACTTCCAGAAAACCATTATTAAAGTTCCATTAAGCTTCTTATTTTCAGTTTCGTAAAAGAATGGAATCTAATCTTGTAAGTAAACATCTACCTGAAACATACTTGTAGTATTAGATGGTTTTAGACACTGTAGAGCAAAGCTATTTAAAATAAAAATGTTGTATAATATCATACTGTGGCTTTAAAGTATGACAAGTTATTTAAATATCATATTGAATAATTTGCTAATCTATCTATCCTTTTAATACTTGGCTTTAAAAACTGACCCAGTCTGTTAAATTAAATACCAAAATCATCTAAAAATTAGTATAATTTATCAAGTTTCTTAAAGTAGTGTAATTTATTTTCTATCCTGTTTCATAAAGTTATTTTTCAATAGAAAATTTTTTAAATAGTACCATGCTTCTAGGGATATGAAACTTTTATTTAAACACTATTAACATATCTTTAAAGCAATTTTTAACAGAAGCAAAATAAAAGTTAATAAACTTTTCAGGTCCCTAAAAACAAAGAGCTCAAATTGGAATTTTTTATCCCTATGATAAAGATAAACTACACGTACTTCTATTTTGTGTATTGAACCCAATTTCAAATGCCCATTTTAAAGCTATTTCAAATTATCGGTGGGACAATTTTGAAATTATCATATCCATATATTATACTGTCAGCTTTATATGAAATAGAATACAACAGATTACGAAAATCATTTTTAGAAAACTCAACTTTAAAGTCCATACGGCTAACAATTTTTTTCTCTTTTGTATTTAAATTATAAAAGTAGATCCATGTATTAGTTATTTTCTCTCTATTTTATTAGAAAATTAAGAAATAGGTTATTTTTCCATTTACCTTTTAAATTAAATATTTTAAGAATATTCATGTATTTAAAATAAAATTACATTTTAGATATAGTTCTTTTAAATATCATATGCTACATAATATGAATGTTTTCAACTTGCTATGCCTTCCAATTTCAGATGTTTGGCTGTATTTATGTGACTGCCCCCTATATTTTAAAAGTCTTTTTAATAATTCTACCTTATATGAGATGGGAGACAGAACCGGAAGAGAAAACAGTTCAACTGTTTTTTACTAATAAAACATGTCAATAAAATATCTCAAATGCACTTCCTGTACTATAATCAAACTCAAATTCAACTGTAAGTAAATGAATATCAACAACTGCCAAAACTAGTGATATTTTTTTAAAAAGTATATCTACATTGAATGCTCAAGTATAAATTACATAAGGAACAAAAATATACAGGATATTTATAAATTTAATAAGTAAAGCCCTTTATGAAAAACAGTCAAGTTTTCAAAGGTATTCACGTATATTTTCAACATACTTTTGAAGTTAAGAGTTCAAAATTAAATAAAAAGTGAGGAATATCATAAATTTCATCCTTATGGCTGTTTATAAAATTGTTTCTTGATTATTAAATGGCTAAATGGCATCTAAAACCAATAAACAAAATATTAAATAAGTATCTCATTATAAGGGACCTACATAAAATAAAACCACATCAATACATCAGGCTTACTGGATTTATCAGGGTTACCTCATATAGCAGACAGCCAAGAGACCAAATGTCAGATTTGAAGTTGTATCCATTTTCATGTATCCTTTCTGGAGACATGTAGTAAGGTGTACCCACTGAAGAAAAAACGTTCACAAAAACAAATAAGATTTAAAAATAAAGATGCAGATATATTTAAAGCATATGCACTAGTCTACTATCTACATAATGACTCTAAAACTATGATCTAAAGAAATCCAGACCATTGTGTTATAAGATTTCCTCTAGCTAAATACTTACTTTTCTTCTTTTCCTACTCAACCCACAGAGGAAACACCATGTAAAAAACTATAGCATATAAAACACATATTTTTTTTTGGTGGCAGTTATTTCAATTTACTTGCTTTTGATTGGTCTAGGCTTAACTCTAGTGAGTAAAACTCTAAAAATGGAGTAAACAAAATGCTGAATAAGGAACTCAGATTCATTTCATGTTGACTTTATTTTTGCATTGAATACACATTTGGTTTGCACATCTGGAATAGTTGATAGTAATTTAAAGCTATTTTAAATTTATCAAATTTATCAAATTAAGAATAGCAAAATGTACTAAGTCAACTAATAAGGGTTGCAAAAATAAATCCTTTTCTAAATTTTTACCAAAAGACAGATTGTATAAATCCATTTAGTCTTCGCTCTAATGAAAAACTGGGCCACTGAGCAACTCAATCTGTGCCTCACTTGCTGATGGCTCTGGAGGAGAAAGTGAGGCTAATGACTTTGCACAGTACTCTCTTAAATCCAATTCATTTGCAAGTCATGGCATCCCCTTTCTGACGTCATGGACCTCTTCAAGAACAAAGGACAAACAACAACAACAGCCAAAGTTACTCTATTTTAGGAAGCTAAATATATGGATTGTAAAGGGATATGTAATGACACATGTCAAAGCTCTCTGAAGTCTTTGGAGAAAAACAAAAGAAAATATCATTTTTACAAAGACTTATTTTAAAAGATATGATAGCTGAATAGTTTTGCTGACTGAATTTCACACATTTCTTTCCTTTGGTGTATTTTAATACTCAGTAAACATCAGAGCCTAAACCAAAGGAACATATATATCATTATGTCACAAAAGTGAATAACTTAAGTAATTTCCAAAGTGAATATTTTAAAGCTCAGACTGAGATGGCAACTAACTCACCCTCACTGGCCAAAGGGTTTGCCAGAAGAAGATCCAGGGTGAGAACATCTGTGAGACCTTCTTGCTTGAGGCAAAGTCTACTTAAATGTTTGGCATACTTGGCTACTTAGTCAAAGCAGGATATCTTTCTTTTCTTTTAGTTTTTAAGAATATTCTTAGGTATTTACTACAAATCCTAATGAGCATCCAAACCTCAACACTACAAAGGAGTTCTTCACTGGGGGGGAGAAAGGGAGAGAATCTTACCAACCATCAAATACTCTTCCAGAGAACTCCAAAAGGAGAAACAACAACAACAACAACAACAAAACAGGCCTAATAGTTACAAGCTAAAGGCACTATTTTGAATATTTTAAAAATGCTAACAATTATTGTAAAAATTTGTTGGAATCCACTTTCACTAATAATGTCATCAAGTTATCCCATTCTTCACATAAATGGACAAGGGATGGTTATTTTTTACACAAAAAAAGGACAAATGGATGTGCAGACAGGAGAGCAAGAGAGATGTGATTTTTAATATTTTAAGAATACATTAAAAAGAGAATGATCATTAAATTGATTATTTTTATGACATATAGAATATGTTATTTGGAGTTTTAAGATGTCAAGTAAAATTGCCAACTTAAAAAAGCCTAACAGAAAGCAAACTTAGAATAGCTTGATTTAAAATACTTTTCAATCTCAGATTATCCTAAGAAATTAAGAAGTATCCTAAGAAATTAAGAAGAAATTAAGAAATCTTGTGATTTCTTAGCAGAGGTTTTATTTATATATATAAATTCATATGTATATGTATATATGCATATATACATATAGACACACACACACACACACTATAGAGTTTAGTCTGATTGACTTCCTCCTCCTTTTAAGCAAGGTAGAACAGGTTTAATAGTAAACTGGCTCCGAACAGGTTACTTGTTTCAAGACATAAAGCAAGTAACTGGCAGTGAGTAATGTGCCAGAAAGAGGCTTCACAGAATCCACAGGGGGCAGCTGAAAACACTGAGGTTTGAAGGTTCATAGTTTACCAAAAGCAAAGGTAATTTTAACCAGTAGCTCTGGGAAACCTGCTGATACATTAGGGGTTTGATATGAGTGTGAAAGATTGATGATAGGGAAAAAGAAGAACAAATGCTAGCATTTTACAGAGTTTAGCCTTAGTATAGCACCTTAACTGCAATACAAACTGAACCCTCCAATGACCCAGAAGTGAAGAAGCAAAGAAAAAATGATTAGGAATTTTGCCTAGCTAAACTAAAAACAAAAACAAAACTCTTATCTCCCATGAAGAGAAGTCTAATATTTCAAAAACTTATAAAACACCCTTACTATGCTACTGTGAACATCAATATGGGTCTCTTTTGCACATTAAAAGCATAACGTATCTTTTTCAATATATTTGAAATACATTTATAAAATGGCATTAATGAGTAAGTCTGCTTAATACTAAGAACGTTACTTATATAAGTTAATCTTTGCTGAAATAAGTATTTCTTGTTGGGGATGAGGCTTGGATTTGGAGAGAAGGATGTGATTAAATAGGGACGACAGAAGAATGGAAAGGAATCAGTCTAAAGAAAGGTTCTCTCTTCTGCCATTTCATTCTCTTTAATTGCTACAAAACTGTACTTGAGGAGTTCTGGACTATGGAGTTTTGGCCAACTGGCTCTGCAGTTCTGATATTTAACTTCTTTAACTAGTACACAACTGCATAAGAAAAAGGAAAGCATGTTGCATAATATGAGTAGAAATGAAAGCAATCATGCACATTATCATGTGCTGATTAAGCAGGAAGAAAACCAGCCCAAAAGAAATTTGCTGTTATCTAGTTAAACCTTTGTTTGGACTATAACATGAACTTTCAGTTAATGGAAAACTGGGATTTCAAATTTAGCTCCCAGCAAAGTCTTTTGTCCTTTCAAGTAATAATATAGGTAGCAACGTGCAAAGAAGTAGAAACAAAGTATATGCCCATAAAAGGAAAGAGGAAGGAAAGAAGGGAAGGAGGGAAACATTAAAGGAGGGAAGAAAGGAAGGAAAAACTTATTAAACAACTACACGCCAGGCACTTGGCCAAGTATTTTACAAATGTTATCTCATTTGATCCTCACAATAATCCTGGGAGGTAGTTGCTATTCTTATCACCACTTCTAGTTGAGAAAACTGAAGCAGGCAGAGGTTAAGTGACTTGCCCAGGGTCATGCAGTTAAGTGTGAGGCCACAGTTTAACTTAGGTCTTCCTAACTCTAGGCCCAGCACTCTGTGCATTGTCCCACCTGACTGCCTCCTGAAAAGTAAATGAAGCAGCAGAGTCTAGAGCAAGAGACTGAATCTCTGACCCTCTGAGAGGTCCATGAGGAGATAATCTATTTAACAGCAAAGTAAACCTAGAACAGAGCTAAACTGGCTGGTGATAACAGGGCAAGGCATGTTAGAGATATTCTTTTATAACCTGTGAGGCTCCAGGTCTCCTTGACTACCAAGCAAGAACTACTCAGCTATGCTGGGGTGTCCACTCTCACTTCCCCTTTCTACCTTTTGGTCAGAAATGGATAATCAAATCAATATTACATTCCCATTGCTTCTGTGCTAGGCCTGACAATCTACTTTCCTATTCAGAATCTCTATCTTTGTTGTCCCTAATACCTAGCACAGAGTAAATAATAGACGGGTAATAACGGCTTATTGAATTGAATTGAATCCACACGTCAAGACTAAAACAAAGAACAAAATGTTGATTTAAAGAATAAAATAAGCACTGAGCTCATACAAAATGTTTGCCACAATCTCTTAAACTAAATGAGCTGAGAATGCTTGTGAATTTCTAAGTCAATGGGTAGGAAAGTAAGTAGTAGTAGCTAGGTGGTAACTCTAATAGGCTGCTATGCTAAAAAGCTCTGCCTATTTCTATAGTCTTCCTTAGTAAAGGAAATAATGATAGAATGGGGATGAATGGTTATCAAATAAAATGTTTTATTTTAGAATATATTCTAAATTCTTCATATCATCGAGACCAACTATTGCTAAAGATCAGTGAATAACAAATATTGTTTCTTTCTCTTAGATCATGCCTGGAAGGGGATGAGTAAGCAATTTTGAACTCTCTGAGACAAGCATCACCTTCCCTCTGGTCATTCTCCATACTGCTGCTGTTTCTCCACATATGTAACTTAGCACAGCCTTGTTATTCACCCCACTCCCACTTTCAGTCCTTTGCCCAGGGTTCAAAAGTAATCAAAGCAACCCTATCTTTACCTCTGCTTGTCCAAAGACCGCTCTAATGTTTCATTAGCTATCCCAGTGACTTCCCAGACAAAATACTCTTCTCTGGCCACTACTACTCTGTAACTGTGGTTTTCCCCAATTAAATGTAAGTTCCTTGAGGGAAGGGGATTATCACTTTTTGTATTTGTATCTCCAGTGCTTAGCATAATGCTTAGCAGACTGTAAGTGTTTAATACATAAATTTTATTCATTCATTCTTTTATAATTAAGAGCCTAAGAAACTTTCTAAATATTACATAGCTTGTTTAAAAGCATAAGGGTACATATAATTCAGTGGGATAAGTATAATAAATGCATGATCTATTATATATAATATATCATATATTATACATATAATAAACAGGGAATAATCATTGAATGTAACAAATAATGAATGTAAATGTTCTAATATAATATATGGTATGAAACAGACTGTTTTTATTAAGATGTCAAAAAAGTATATTTACAATAATGTTTTCAAAGTAAGATTTACATGGTTTAAAATGAGGTAAAATCTTATTCCAAAGGTTAAAAATATGCTGTACAATTACACAAGTTGAGAGAAGATGGAAAGGCAAAAATAAATCAGAAGTGGTGAACCAGACACAGTGGGGGTTGCTAACAGTGTTGACAGCAAACATATGCTGCCTTTTGAGGCCAAAA